CTCCTTATCAACTCTACCACACCCCTCTTCCATAACCCTCCCCTATACCCTCCCCTACACTCCTCCCCTTCCCCCTTCCCCCGCAACCCTCTCAAACACCCTCCCCCAAACCCCTCCCCACCACCTTCCCCAATACCCCTCCTGGAGGCTGGCCAGAGTTAAGTCAACTTCTCAGCAGAGTGTTTTAACTGGGTCCCTGGAGACACAGCTCCCTACCCCCCATTCCTGGGGTCACCCTCCTCCCCTCAGGAGCCTGGCAAGTCCAAATTGAGGAGCGGAGCGAGGGGGTGCATCAATGCCGTCCTCGCCTCAAAGTCAGCTGCTTCCCTTCAGTCTGGGAGGGGGAGTCCCCTCCCAGCACCCAGGGACCTCCTCCAGACTCCCCCAATCTCCCCTCCTAGCCCTGGGGGTGAGGGGGCCCAGGTCAGCTGGCTGGCAGATTCCTGGCTTTCTGGTGAGACCCTGCTGGCATCCGGGGACTGTCTATCCAACGGGCGGGATAGCACACACCCCACGGGCCGGAAGGACGACTGGTTTCCTTCGGGACAGCTCCGTACACTGTGCAGAGCTGGTTCCACCACTGAGACAAGCCTATTGCTGATGCCTTCTGGGGCTCTGTGCAGGTGTCTGCACCCCCAGAGGCAGGGGGCATGATGGTCACTGCCCCTCACCCCCCCCGCCTCACACACACACACACACACACACACACACACACACACACACACACACACCACGTCCCCAAAGGCCAGGCTGCATTCGTGTCTCGGGCCTGCCTCCATGCTGGGCCTGCTGCTGGTTGCCTATTAAGGACTGAGGTTTGGGGGCGTGGAGCGCAGGGTAGGTGGTCTGTGGTGTGGGGGTACAGAGGTGCTGGGGGGGAAGGTGTCTGGAGGGAGAGGGAAGGAAGAGAGGAGCCTCCGGCTCTAGCTCCGGGACACTTGGCTGCTGCCCTATCAGCAGAGCCTATTTTGGGAGGTGTTTCATCTGCTCCTAAGGAGGTCTCAGTTTTAGCACCTTTCTGCCTGGGAGAAATGCTGCTAATTATGTATGTGCTCCTTCCCCTAAGCGAGCGGCACCCTCCCCAACACACACACACACACACACACACACACACACACACACACACACACACAAACCCCAAAGGTCAGGCTAGCCAAGTAGACAATTCGCTAAGGTCCCAGAGACCACACTGCCTGCTCTCAGGGCAGACCAGGGTCAGGCAGATGGTGACGTTTAAATCTCTGTCCTTCCTGGGATTTGCTGTAACCCACTCCCTCCGATCCCTGACAACATACACGGTTCCCTAAGCACTTCCAGAAGTGATCTCTGATCACAGAGCAAGAGTAAGCCCTTGAGCACAGCTGGATATGGCCAAATAAAACCCTAAAATTCAGGGCCAGAGCAATAGTACAGTGGGGAAGGAGTTTGCCTTGCATGCAACTGACCAAGGTTCAATTCCCGCATCCTATAGGGTCCCCAGGAGTAATTCCTGAGTGCAGAGCCAGGAGTAACTCCTGAGCATTGCCGAGTGTGACCCCCCCCAAAGAGCAAAAAATATAAATTAATTAAATAAAATTAAAAACTCTAAAAAAAAAACCAACCTGAAATTTTGTATTTTCTATACCAATGTTTCTCAGCTTTTTTCCAACAGACTGTCCCTTTTAAAAAAAAAAATGGGGGCCATACCCAGGAGTGCTCAGGGGTTACTCCTGGCTCTGCACTCAGGAATTATACCTGGTGGTGCTCAGGGGACCATATGAGATTCTGGGGATCAGACCCAGGTCAGCTGCGTTCAAAGCAAGCACCCTCCCCATTGTACTATCTCTCCTGTCCCTAAGTCCCTGCTAATCTTGCCTCCTTCCTGTGACACAACTGTCAACTGATTAATCCCCTAATCTTGTGCTGTGCCCACTCCCCCATTTATGCGACATTGACCTGTGACACCTTTGGAATATTCTGGAGGGTCACAGGAGGCCATGCAGCCCCTGGTTCAGAAACCCCGCTGTAGAGGCTAGGGAGGACGTGGCTGATTTTTTTTTTAATCAATTTAGACTCTTTCAGGCTGCCTCATTTTTTCATTTCCTCTATCTTGGTTCTCCAAGTCTATCAGAGGATGACTTGAAGGAGTGAGGTGTCAGTGGGGCGTCTCCTTTTCCCACCCAACAAAGGTGGATCCCAACCCGCAAATCACTCTTTAAAGGATGGCTTCATGAGTACAGTGTTGTTTGAATGGAGTTTCCACCAAACCTCATGAGGTCAGTCCCAATGTTTCTCCTCCCACTTTACAGGTGAGGAAACTGAGGCCCAAGGTGCCCTCTGGCCCCATGTTCCCCTATACAGGGAAAGGCTGAGATTCTAGCTCAGTCATGCTTGAAGCCACTCAGGGTCAAACGCTTTTTAATTTAGCCATTGCTTTTTTTTGTTTTGTTTTGTTTGTTTTTTCATTTTGTTTTAGTTTTAGTCTTGTTTTTTTTATTTTTTGATTTTTAGTTTTGTTTTGAGTTAAGGCCACACCCGGCGATGCTCAGGCCTTACTCCTGGCTCTGCACTGAGAACTCACTCCTGGCGGTGCTGAGGGGACCCTATGGGATGCCGGGGATGGAACCCGGATTGGCCACATGAAAGGCAAACACCCTACCCACTGTGCTATCGCTCCACGATGGTCTCCCACTCCTGTTTCCTCATAATTTATATCCTGATGGCTGCTGGTTCTCCTGGTGTTTGCTCAGTCCAATCCCAGGAATCTCCACCACAGTGAACATCCTCACCCCAATCGATAATGACTAACAGGGGCATCCAAGAGAAAGTCTTCCCGAGCAGAAAATTACCCTGGGAAGTAATTCAAAACTCTTGAACTCTTGGGGCTGGAGCAATAGCACAGAGGGTAGGGTGTTTGCCTTGCATGCGGCCGACCTGAGTTCGATGCCCAGCATCCCATATGGTCCCCTGAGCGCCACCAGGAGTAATTCCTGAGTGCAGAGCCAGGAATAACCCCTGTGCATTGCTGGGTGTGACCCCAAAAGCAAAAAAAAAAAAATAACAAACTCTTGAACTCTTGGGCTGAGAGGCAGGAAACAGGCGAGTCTGGGCTACAGGGAAAGGGAGCACAAACAGATGGAGGTTGACTAGAATATGATGAGCAGAGGACGGAGGCAGCTGTATGTTCATGAGCTGTATGTTCTCTGGCTAACAGCTCGTCCTCGTTGTTGAAAGGACGAGATTGAAATTATTGCTCCCCCTCTAGGTCCTGTCGGTGGCACAGAGACTGGGAGCCAGGCTAGAGGGCCCCTTGAGGGCCAATTCAAGTCTTCACCCTGCCTGGCCTAGAGGCACCAGATACCCAGCATGCTTCCCTTCCCCAGTCTGAGCGAGCTGCCCAGCAGCCGCCAGAATTTGGTGCCACCCATCGGGGACAGCAGTGAGCAAGGGCAGGCAGGCTGTGTAGACCGAGTTTGCTGCAAACATGACATCTTGACATCGTTCCTCCCCGGGCTCCAGCTCTGGTCCCCCAGACGCTCTCAGCACGATGTCAGCCTCGCCTGCCAGCAATGGGGTGTTTGTTGTCATCCCCCCAAGCAACGCCAGCGGTCTCCGCCCACCGCCAGCCATCCTGCCCACCTCCGTGTGCCAGCCTCCGGGGATCATGCAGTTCGAAGAGCCACCACTAGGGGCGCCGCCGTCCAGGGCCACCCAGGCCCCAGACCTGAGACCCATGGACACCTTCCTGACCGGAGAGCCCAAAGCCTTAGGGGTAAGAGGCGAGGGTGCTGGAGAAACCCACTGACTCCGTCATGCTGGATGATGAGGTCCAAAAGGATGAGCAGGGAGGTGCAGGAGGGAACTGACGAGGTAGGGGTGGCATTTAGTGTAAAATGTAGAGGCAAGGGACTAGAGCTATAGCATAGCAGGTAGGGCGTTTGACTTGCACGTGGCCAGCCCGGGGTTCGATCCCCAGCATCCCATATGGTCCGCCGAGCATTGCCAGGAGTAGTTCTTGAATGCAGAGCCAGGAGAAACCCCTGTGCATCACCGGGTGTGACCCAAAAACAAAACCAAAAAACAAACAAACAAAAAAACAACCAAAAAAAACCCATAGAGGGGCTGGAGAGATAGCACAGCGGGTAGGGCGTTTGCCTTGCATGCAGCCGACCCAGGTTCGATTCCCAGCATCCCATATGGTCCCCTGAACACCGCCAGGAGTAACTCCTGAGTGCAGAACCAGGAGTAACCCGTGTGCATCGCCAGGTGTGACCCCAAAAAAGCAAAAAAAAACCATAGGGGGGGGCTGAAGCCAACCCAGGGGCTGCGGGTGAGTAAAGGCCTTGAGGTGTGTGTGGCTGTGGCTTGTTTCAGAGAGAAATGATGGATGGTGGAATGAAAGAACAAAGGAAGGGACAGAGGAGAGGGGATGCTGAAGTGAGGTGCAAGGGCCATCTCCTGGGAGTAGGGGACTGCCCATTCACAAAAGATGAACATCAAGAGATGAGACGCTGGAAACTGAACTGGGTCAACTGCAGTTAGGCAGCTGGAAGCCCCTGATGTCCTCTTATTTCCAGATTTTTCTGATTTTGCTTTAGTTTGAGGTGGTCACACCCAGTGATGCTCAAGGTTTACTCCTGGATCTTTATTCAGAGACCACTCCTGGCAGGCTCAGGGAGCCTATGGGATGCTGGGGATTGAACCCTTATCAACAGCATGCTAAACGAACACCTTACCAGCTGTACTGTCTGTCTGGCCCCCATTACTTCCAGATTTTAATCATCACCAAACACAGTTGAAAGGAAAATGACAATTGGTCAGAGAGCTAGTACCGGGGTGAGGCACCCACCTTACAGGAGGCTCATCCTGATTTCATCCCTGCTCTGTGTATGGTGCCCTGAGAATTGTCAGGGGTCAGAGCACAGAGCCAGAAATAGTGCCTGAAGGTGGGAGGATGGAGAGGAGAAAGGAAGGAAGAAAGGGAGGGAGGAAGGGAGGAAGACAGACCCCGTTCCTGGAAAATTATTAACAGGATGCTAGCAAGCCAACACTCACAAAATAATAAAGCCCATCAATAATCCAAGTCCTACTGTCCTCTCATCCCGTGTGAGGCGACTCTGCTGGTGCACAGGGCTGGGGTGTATTCACGACAGACACTGAAATCAGCAAGATGCTCCTGTGAGAGTGATGGCCAGCAGAAGGGGTGAGGAGGGAGAGGGGGACACTGGCAGGGAATGCAGGTGAGGGGGCTGAGGTCCAAGAAACCAAGTGGTGATCCAGAAAGATGTTGGAACAGCAGAGGTGAGCCCTAAGCAGGATACAATCCCATTGAGAGAGGCAAGGGAGTCGCTACAGCTGAAGGGAGCTGGTTTTGCCTCTTGGAATGGTCTTTATGGATGGCGGTGACGATGCCTCCAGCATGGAAGAGAATCTGGTCCTCAGCCGCCAGGGTCCGGTAGCGTTCCGCATGGCGGCCTGCAGGGGGCGGTGTGGAGCCAGGGGAGAATCTGGTCCTCAGCAGCCAGGGCCCTGCGGCGCTCCCTGCAGAAGCCTGCAGGGAGCGGTGTGGAGCCAGGAGAGAATCTTTGCTCCTCAGCATCCAGGGCCCTGCAGCGCTCCCCGCGGCGGCCTGCAGGGGGCGGTGTGGCGCCAGGTGGAAATCTGGGCCTCAACAGCCAAGATCCGGCAGCGCTCCCCGCGGCGGCCTGCAGGGGGCGGTGTGGAGCCAGGTGGGAATCTGGTCCTCAGCATCCAGGGCCCTGCAGCGCTCCCCGCGGCGGCCTGCAGGGGGCGGTGCGGAGCCGCACTGAGCTGCCTTGCACTTCCCCGCAGACCGTGCAGATCCTCATCGGCCTCATCCACCTGGGCTTTGGCAGCGTGCTGCTCATGGTCCGCCGCGGCCACGTGGCCATGCTCTTCATTGAAGGCGGTATCCCCTTCTGGGGAGGAGCCTGCGTGAGTGTCGGGACCCTGGGGGTGGCAGTCTTTGTAAGGGGTGGGGGGGAAGGAAGGAAGGAAGGGAGGGAGGAAGGAAGGAAGGAAGGAAGGAAGGAAGGAAGGAAGGAAGGAAGGAAGGAAGGAAGGAAGGAAGGAAGGAAGGAAAGAAGGAAGGAAGGACTGCCTTTACCCCTAGAGTGTGCAGCTGGCCTCCAAGCCATGGAGTAAACCTCCTGGAGACAATTAGTAAACCATTTTTTTAAATAAAGAAAGCATCCATCTCGGCTCTGTGTTCAGGAGGCCTGGATCTGATTCCCAGCCCTGCTGGGAGTGACCCCTCCACCACCACCACCACCAAGTTCAGAGTCGGGAATAGGCCCCACTCACTGTAACACAGTGGCACTGTCCTCCCGTTGTTCATTGATTTGCTCCAGCAGGCACCAGTAACGTCTCCATTGTAAGACTTGTTGCTGTGTTTGGCATATCGAATATGTCACGGGTAGCTTGCCAGGCTTTGCTGTGCGGACGAGATATTCTCGGAGGCTTGCCAGGCTTTCCGAGAGGGGCAGAGGAATCGAACCCGGCTTGGCCAAGCTGGCTGCATGCAAGGCAAGGGTCCTACCTGCTGTGCTATCGCTCCAGCCCCCAGGCCCCACTCACAAAAAAAAAAAAAAAAAAGAGCAAAGAAGCTGTTCGTCCATCCGCACAGGCAGCAAGTGGCAAGTGCCCTGGGCAGAGGCCCTAGAAACCTGAGGACACTCCAGAGAGCTCAGGTCTGGGACGGAGAAGACGACACCCCGTGTATCCCGCCTGGGGTCAGCCTCAGCCTCACCCACCCTCCCTTCCCCGCAGTTCATCATCTCTGGGTCCCTGTCTGTGGCAGCCGAGAGGAGCCATACCAGCTGCCTGGTGAGTCCAAAAGGGGGTCCAGGGGGGCCCTGTGCACAGATTAGGGGACCAGTCATGATTCCCCTTACACGGGCAAAGCACAGGGAAGGGCAGTGGAGGGAGAGAGGTCAGTGGGGGTTGCCTCCAGGTTGTGGGGCTGTGGCTGGGAGCACTGCTGAGGTCAAAACCCTCAGGGAGCTTACATTCATATCTGTTAAGACACCCCCAAACTGGGGCTAGAGCGATAGCACAGCGAGTAGGGCGTTTTGCCTTGCATGCGGCTGACCCATGTTCGATTCCCAGCATCCCATAAGGTCCCCCGAGCACCACCAGGAGTAATTAATTCCTGAGTGCATGAGCTAGGAGTAAGCCCTGTGCATCGCCGAGGTGACCCAAAATTTAAAAATAAAAGATACCCCCAAACAAATAACAAATGTTAGAGTTTGAAAAGGACACCAAGGAGGCCCCCAGATAGCGTGGGAGCTCAGCAGGGACCATCTGGGGTCCCGGGGAGGGGATGTGAGCTCATAGTGGGGGCAGTACCCCAGTCTGGGGATGCTGGAGAAGGCCAGGACACTAGAATAGCGCACAGAGGCAGAGCGGGGAGCGGGAGAAGGCTGCATCGGGGACGTGCCTCCTTTGGAAGCTACGTTAAGATTTTGTGAGGCCACTGAGCAGAGACCCATCACTCTGTTTGCGTTCTTGAGTGCTGGGTGGAGAGTGGAGCATAGGAGGGCAGACTGGCACGTGGGGACCTCAGGCCAACCCTTATGGTCCCCAGGCTGGCGAGTTAAGGTGGGTCTCATAGCAGCTTAGTGCCTGCCCCATTGGCTGTGTTGGATTGGGAATGGATAAAGGATGAATGGATGGATAGACAGGTGGATAGATGGGCGGATGGACAGACAGATGGATAGATGGATGGGTGGACAGATGGACGGATGGACGGACAAATGGATGGATGGATGAATGAGTGGGTGGGAAATGGATGGCTTGATGAACAAATGGATAGATAAATTGATGGACAGACAGACAGGTGGAGAGATGGACGGATGGATGGATGGATGGATGGATGGATGGATGGATGGATGGACAGATGGATGGATGAACAGACAAATGTATGGATAGATGAATGGGTGGGTGGGAAATGTATGGCTGGATGAACAAATGGATAGATGAATTGATGGACGGACAGACAGGCGGACAGATAGCCGAGTGGATGGATTAATGAATGGATAGGTGGGTGGGCGGATGGATGGACAAACAAATGGGTAGGTTTGGAATGAATGAAGAATGGATGCTTAGATGATGAACAGACAGACGGATGGACAAATGGAAGGGCATAGGAATGGGTGCACAGGCAGGTGAATGGATGGATGATGGATGGGTGATGGGTGGATGATATATTAATGGATGAACTTCGCTGAGATACTGCTTTGGTCTCTACTCCCTCCTCAGTGTCGTAGGGGAAAGGGAGTCAGAGGCCGGAATGAGATTTCAGGGGTTAAAGCACTGCTAGGTGCAGCCTGGAGGCCTCCAAGTGCCACCGGGCTGGGCAGCCCACGTAATCCGCCACCCCAGGCCCCAAGCAGCACCACGTCCTCAGTCCCTTACATCCAACCACTGGCCCAGTTGACTAAGTCACCAGGAGAGGCTCCACCTCCTAGAGGACCCCCCCCCCCAGAAAAAAGGGATTCAGTGCCTTTGGGAGTTGAGCAGACTCTGCGCTTCCTTGGGGCCAGAGGGTGTCAACCTCAGGGTCTAAGGAGCTGCAGGGACCACCCAGAGACCACTTGCCTTCTGCATTCACCATCCCCCTGCCCAGGACTTGGCCCAGCCCAGCCTCATTCCCTGGGTCCCACCTGTCCAGGGCCCACCCCCCTACATGGTGCCCACCCTGCCTGGCACCCAGTGTTCCCCAGCCACACCCCAGTCCCCGTTCCCAAGATCTGACCTACACGATGCTCCGCTGGGGCGGGGGGAGGAAGAAGGGAGAGGGATACAGGGAAGGCGGGGGTCAGGAAGCCATGCAGGAGAGGGACGCTCTGCCCAGCAGTTTTGGGGAGGTGACAGAAGGGACATTGTCCATGCCTGGAAGGACAGTGGAGAAGCAGGTGGTCAGGCAGAGGCCAGCGGGCTCACGGGAGGGCTGGGTGTGGGGGGCTTGGCAGGGGAGGGGAGGGGGGCTGTGACCTGATGCCCCTTCCTTCCTCTTCCCTCTGTCTCTGCCTGTCGTCCCGTCCTGCAGGTGAGGACCAGCCTGGGCACCAACATTCTCAGCGCCACGGCAGCCTTTGCCGGGACGGCCATTCTGCTCATGGATTTTGGGGTCACTAACTGGGTGTGTGATCGGACGCCCCCGCCCCCCGCACCCCCCACTGACCCAAGAGTGGGGAAATTCAGAGAATGACAACCGTGTCGGGGGTGGTAGACCCCCCCCAGTCCTATCGCCAATGAGCATGGGGTGGGCAGGAGGGGTGAGAGGGGGCGGGCGCACAGTGCCTTTCCTCCTCTAGAACATTCGGCTTGCTTTGACTCTGGGTTTTTGCTCCCCAGGATGTGGGCAGGGGCTACCTGGCCGTGCTGACCATCTTCACCATCCTGGAATTCTTCATCGCCGTCATTGCCACCCACTTTGGATGCCAAGCCACCCGCGCACAAGCCAACGCGGTGAGTACTGCGGGCCCCACGGTCCCACTCCCAGTCCTACCTCTTATCAAGCACCGGGAAAAATTCTCCCCCCCCACCCCCAGCCCCCCTTCTTCTGGTTTGGGAGACCCAACGCAATGTTTCCCTGGAGACGGGTTTGTTCTCCTGGTGACCACACGGAGGCGCCCGCGCCACAGGTCTGCTGCTCTGGACCCCTTAAGGGGAAACAGAGCTGGTGGGTCCCTCGTCATTTCCTCCAGGGGGCTGGGGCGGGGGGGTGAGGGGGGGACCATGCAATGCATTGGAAATCCAGCATGACCCCGGTGGAAGCTGAGCCTAGTGCCCCTCCAAACTGGAGGATAGTATCACTGTATCACTGTCATCCTGTTATTCATCGATGTCCTCAAGCAGACACCAGTACCGTCTCCTTCATCCTAGCCCTGAGATTTTAGAAAGTGCCACATTCGAGGCTCTTTCAGGGTCAGGAGAATGAGACTCATCGTTGTTACAGGTTTTTGGCATATTGAATACGCCACGGGGAGTTTGCCAGACTCTGCCGTGTGGGCAGGATACTTTTGGTAGCCTGCCAGGTTTTCCAGAGTAAGAACTAGATAATAAGATGTCGCTTCCGGGAGCTGGGTTTTAGTCTCTGGGTCTTGGCCGTTGATGGGATTACACGACGCCGGGGGGCAGTTGGTGGGTGTAACACCTACATACTGGAAGATGGGGGATCTGGGTGGAGGAGGCCCCAGTTCCAATCCAAGGAGACTTGGAGATCTACACCCCGGGTCCTGCACACCTGGGTTCCTCGGCTGGTTCCTTCCTGCGTGAGGCTCGTCTGAACGTGTGGAGAGTGGTCTTAAGCATGGCTGTGGCTGGAACCGGAGGTCATCAGGGGCTCTGCTCGGGGTGGGGAGGGGAACTCAACCCACCCTCCTCCAAAGGGCCCCGGTGAGGACAGCCAGGCGCGGTGGCAGGAGATAGTAAAGACAGAAAATGAGGTGGGGGAGGGTTTGAGGAGTTGGGGAGACCCTTAGAATAAAGTAGGGGGAGGAGTGCTGGGGTCTGGAAAATGCAGGGGACCGCGTTGAGGGGAACAGAGAGGTGGGGGCTGGAGGCGGGGTTCGGCAAAGCGCCCCTGTACTGCGCCCCTGCCTTGAGCTACTGCAGAAAGACCAGAGCTTCAGCCCCTACGGAAATGGGGCTCATTTCATGCCCAACATCTGGGTTGGTCCCATACATGTTTTGTTGGGGGAGGTAGCATGAGGATATTGGGGCCACAACCAGAAGTACTAGTAGTGGGATGCCCCCAGCTCCGTGCCCAAGCACCTCAGCCACTGTACTCCCCTTCCACCTGTGATTTCTGGAAAATGAGTTGAACCCTTTGAGTCGGCTCCCTGCAGCTCCGCAGGAACGCATTACGAGGGCGCTGTTCCCCATCTGCCCGCAAGGGGGCACTGGTGCAACATACTCACCCACCCTCCTCCCGTAAGGCGCCCCCGGAAACCTCCAGGAAAGTCACCGGGTTGGTTTCTTTCTTTGCAGCCGGTGATTTTCCTGCCCAACGCCTTCAGCACAGACTTCATCCCCAGTCCGACGGCCTCTCCGCCCCCCGCCTATGACAACGTGGCCTACATGCCCAAGGAGTCCTCCGACTAGATGGTGGCCTCCTTGAAGCCCAGCCACCCCCCAGAGCCAGCCACTCCCCGCTTGGTTAATCTGGGGACAAACACCCCCATTGACCCCCACGTATTGTGGCACCCGGATGCAGTGCTCCCAGTGACCCCTGTTCCACACAATCCCCCCGGTCTGTCCTGTGAGTGTAGCTGATATCAGCGTGTCTGTGTCCCTGTCCTTGACGCATCTGAAGGAGCCCCCATGAGAAGCTCACCCAGGAGAGCGCTCAGGCCTGGGGAAGATCATCATACTCAAGAGTGTTCCAGAAGATTCTAGATGGAAGCATTCCGACCGGCCCCCAGCTCCACAGGGGTCAGCTGGGTTTTCTTAGCTGGAAAGGAAAGGGTTGACCCTGACGACATCGTAGGCCCTTCTCTTCCAGCTCCCAGCCTCCCGCGCTGCCTACCTGTCAAAGTGGGGTCAGTGTTGGTCTCCCCCACCCACACCCCCCTACCCTCGCCTCGGGCCTGGGAGGTTGCAGGGAAGGGGTTCAGGGGTGTGCTCTGGTGACGCCCCCTCCCCCTAAAGGCCCAGGCTCTCCTCCTCTTTAGCCTGATGGTGGGGGGGGGGGGGGGGCTGGCATGCCACCGTTCCTGGCATGCAGAAGCGACAAGGCAGAGAGTGAAACACTTGGGCTGGGAGGAAAGAGGACAGTAAACTGTGGCTTCCGTGAGCTGGCTCAGCGTGCTGTTTCCTCTCGACCTCAGGGGCTGCTCAGAATCCTCTCATGTCGATCAGCAGGCCTAGGTAACTGCCCTCTGTAACAGCATGAAGGAGGGTGTGTGTGTGTGTGTGTGTGTGTGTGTGTGTGTGTGTGTACATGGGTGTGTGCATGTATGTATGCCCATGGGTATGTGAGTGTATATACGTGACAGCATTTGTGAATGGTGGATATATATATATATATATATATGAATGTGTTCATGTGTGGGTTATGTATAGTAAAGTAAGTAAAGGCCCTCCCGTTGATTATCGATTTGCTCGAGCGGGCCCAGTAAGGTCTCCATTGGAGACTTTGTTGTTACTGTGTCTGGCATATCGAATACGTCACGGGGAGCTTGCCAGGCTCTGCCGTGCGGGCGAGATACTCTCGGTAGCTTGCCGGGCTCTCCGAGAGGGGCGGAGGAATCGAACTCGGGTCGGCCATGTTGGCTGCGTGCAAGGCAAACGCCCTACCGCTGTGCTATCGCGTGTATATTGGGTTAAGGATATGAGTGTGTATATACATGTGTGCATATGTGGGTAAGCCTGTGAGTGTATGTATATGTGTGGGCATGTGTGGATAAGTATACGAGTGTGTGAGTATGTGTGGGCATATGTGGTTAAGCCTCTGAGTGTGTGTATACATCTGGGTATATGTCAGCATGGATAGGAGAGCATGTGAATACACATATGTAGGCATGTATATGAGCAAGTGTATCAGTATGGTATGCATGTGTGCCGGGCATCTGACCTTTGTGACTGACCCTAATGCAGGTGGAGGCCAGGACCCGGGGAGTCAGTCAGTGGGACGAGAGCACTGAATGCTTCTGCATTCAGTCACCACAAAGCCCCTGGCAAGGTCACATTGCCCGGTGGTCCAGAACCATCATATCGTGTTCGGGTGCAGGAAGGTAGCTCAGCCACAAAGAGCAAAAGCCTCTCAGTATGAAGCCCTGGGTTCAATCCCCGGTAACATGCACATGCGCGTGCGCACACACACACACACACACACACACACACACACACACACGTTGAGCGGGCCTGTGGGCAATGTGGGATTTTTGTTTTGCTTTGTTTCTGTGGGGTCTTTTTATTGTGTTCGTACATTGCGTGCATGAGCATGCATCCGTGTGTGTGTGTGTGTGTGTGTGTGTGTGTGTGTGTGTGTACATTCGTGTGTGTGCATTCCCAGGGATTGGACCCAGGCCTCTTGCTGTTATATCCAGGGAAGAGATTTTTGCTCACACACTGACCAGACCAAACTCAAGGATGCAAACGCAAGGTACCGTACAGCTAGCTCAATAGAAGCACGCCAAGCTGACATTAAGTGGAGAGCTATACTATGTCCATGGATGGGGAAGTTCAAAAGATTAAAATGCCATTTATAGTTTTTCTATTTTTCATATTTGGGGTTTTTTTTTTTGGTTTTATGCTTTGTTTTGTTTTGTTTTGTTTGTTTCTTTATTTGTTTGTTGTTTTTATTGAGTCACACCCAGCGATGCACAGGAGTTACTCCTGGCTCTACACTCAGGAATTACTCCTGGCGGTGCTCAGAGGACCATATGGGATGTTGGGAGCATGGGTTTATATGTTGGAAAGCATCCACGGGCTTTCAGGCACCTTATGAACCTCCTCTACTTGATCGTGTTTTTTAAGCTGGAGACGAAAGAAAAAGAAACTGAAGTTTCCTTATCAAGGGCTGGAGAGATAGTACAGTGGGTGGGGCGCCTGCCTTGCACGCAACCAAACCTGGTTCAATCTCTGGCACCCCATAGGGTCCCCCAAGCACTGCCAGGATAATTCCTGAGGACAGAGCCAGGAGTAAGCCCCGAGCATCGCAGGTGTGGCCCCCAAACAAAACAAAACAAAAAGAAGTTCCCATATCATTTATGTGTGTTGTCGCAAATCACCACCATACCACACACTTTACACCTTAAGCCTTTCGTTTGCCACATCTGCCACTCACGATCTCCGTCGCTGGGATCCAGGAACAGCTAAGTGCTTGGCTCAAGCCTCCCACAAGGTAGCCAGGCCACGCTCACTGGACACCGGGGCAGGGGACAGTCCACTTCCGGCTCACACCAGCGGGCAGCAAAACTCACTTCCTTGGTGCTCTGGGACCGAGGCTCTTTCCAGCTGTCAGCATCAGCCTCTTCCTGCTCCCCGAGACCCTTGACTCCTTCTCTGGGGGTGTGGGGTGCTCAGTACACAGCCCGCTGTTGCTTCCAAGCCCATGAGAAGGAGTCTCTGCAATAAGGCTGTGTGCAGGGAGGCCTTGTGTCCCAGGTAATTATGGGGTGCCCTCCACCCTCCTTTGGTTCCTTAGAAGCCCCGGGCAGGAGACAACGCCACCGCAGGGCAGCATTGGTGGGGAATAGTTTTTCTCATGCACCCTCCTCTCTCCCGGCTTACAAGGCCCCCTCTGGACCCCCATGGGCCATTGGTTTGGTCCCCCGTTTTTTTTAGATTTTTGGGTCACACCCTGCAATGCACAGGGGTTACTCCTGGCTCTGCACTCAGGAATTACTCCTGGCGGTGCTCAGGGGACCATATGGGATGCTGGGAATCGAACCCGGGTCGGCTGCGTGCTTGGCAAACAGCCTACCCACTGTGCTATCGCTCCACCCTATGCATCCACAGCCTGACCACTGAACAGGCTCTAGCCATGACCTCCCTGTCCCTCCAATACAGTACCCTTGGGTTTGGGCTCTCAGGGCGCACTCCTGGCTCTGAGCTCAGGACGCACTCCTGGCTCACTCAGGGGACCACACGCGGAGCTGGCTCCGAGTAGGGCACGACCTTCACTTCCGTCCGATCTCTTTGTCCCCCAATATCAGGCTTTCTCATTTCATTTCATTTCATTTCATTTCATCATCCTGTTGTTCGTCGATTGCCTCGAGCAGGCCCCAGTAACGTCTCTTTCATCCTAGCCCTGAGATTATATTCAACGCTCTTTAGGAGAATGAGACCCATCATTGTTACTGGTATTTGGCATATTGGGTATGCCACGGGGAGTTTGCCAGACTCTGCCGTGTGGGCAGGCTACATTCGATAGCCTGCAAGTTTGTCCAAAGTAGGAATGAGATAATAAGATGTCATAAAAAGATGTCCTGATAAGATGTCGCGTGGCCACAAATGCGGCCGCGCAGTTCCGGGAGCTGGATTTTATAGTCTCTGAGTCTTGGCCGTTGATGGGATTACATGGCTTTCTCCTGTCCTTCTTTAAATTAGAATAATCCCCTCATGCTTCCTTGATGCCACTCTGGTCTCTCTCCTCTGCCTCAGTTCCCCCAGGACTTTCCCCCCTGTTGCCGTAGGTCCAGTTCCTCTCCAAGCCTGCAGGTGTGGGTCACACACCAGGTCCTGGGGTGAGCCCAGACAGGCTCTCAGCGATCACTGTGCTGAAGGAACTTATTTCTCTAACAGCCCTGTGCCAACACCACCACCCCCCCTTCCCTGAGCCAGCTGCTGCACGTCCCACTGGAAAGGAACCATCATCTCCTCTTCCAAGTTCATCCAAACACACCTGGCGGTGCTCAGGGCTGACTCCTGACTCCGTGCTCAGGGTTGACTCCTGGTTCTGCATTCAGGGATCACTCCTGGCAGTGCTCGGGGGACTATACAGGATGCCGGGAATTGAACCTGGGTCTGCCAAGTGTCTTACTACTGACTATCTCTCCAGGCTCCAAGCCAAAGAGATTCTCTCCCATGTCAGTGTCTCTGCTTGGAATCGAAAGAGCTCTGCTTGGAGTATCACGTTTCACTCAAAAGAGTGAAAGAATCCAGAGTTCCGACCTCCATCGATGGTCAAGAATCAGGGACGCTGTCTCGTTTCCCAAGGCGTCGAAATCAGATGGGCTGGACACGTAATGAGATTTGGAGACAACCGCTGGACTAGAGCCATTACCGACTGGATTCCACGGGACCTCAAAAGACCATGTGGCCTCCCACCTACGAGATGTTCAGACTTCTTCGTCAAGACCCTGAACGATCAGTTTGAGGCTCTTCGTGTTCCTAGAACGAGCAGATGCCATTGGGCTACACTAGCACGCGACAGGGACGAATGGAGATGTTACCGGTGCCCACTCCAGCAAATCGATGAGTAACGGGATGTCAAGTGATCAAGTGATCAAGTCAGTGTCCCTGCCTCATGCCTGGCTGTCTCCCACCCCGCCTTGGCTCGTGGAGAATCGCCCTCACAGGTCCCCTAGCTCGAGCTTCTCAGCTCAGCACAGGCTCCTGGCCAGCCCCCGTGAGGGACCACCTCTCCTTTCCCGAATCCAGGCATCTGCCCACTCACCCGCCGGCCCTGTGCCTCCCCCAGCCACCTCCCAGCCAGAGATAACAGCCAG